TCACTAATTTTACCTCTGAAAACAGGTGACCCCCACCTCATTCATTCGCAAATACCTTGACTTGTATTAAAGATAAATGTATTCTTTTTTCATCCAAAAAAAGATAAGTGAACAAGCTTGAAGATGATACCAATAACTCTACATGCCCCAAAATTGACGTGAGCCTGATTCCACCACACTGCCTCACATATATTATATATCTTCAAGATACAAGGAAATCTCAGAAAGTGAGTTGTTCTGATCAAGTGGATTTACTATTGAAGAACTTAGTAGGTGGTTGACGGGTGCTCTGGTGTGGTTTGCTCCTTCTTTCCCTTAAAAATGTATATCGTCTTTATCTCCTTTCCTTGTGTGTGGGTTGTTTTTTTTTTATTTGTTACTCTCTTCTACACCTCTAATCTTCGGCACTTATGTAACCGTATTGTGTTGTAAGTGCCATAAAACTCTTTCGAAAGCTAAAAGAAGAACTAAGGGGACATTATTATCTTTTTGACCATCTCACTCACACAGAGAAATCTGAAAAAGTGAGTTGTTTTAATTAAGCGGATTAACTATTGAAGGACATAGTTGACACATAATATTATCTTTGAGAGCATTATCTCGCTCGTGCAGGGAAATTCCAAAAAGTGGGTTTGTTTTTGTTAAGTGGATTATTAACTCTTTATAAAGAATGTAGCGGACTCATCGCCGCCATAGAATTGCAAAGTTCTACCTGCTCAGTATATACCTAGTAGTTTTGAGAAAATTTGGCTTTTAGAATTTTGAGTTTCACAACATGTTTTGATTTATTAATTAAAATAGTTTATTATGTAGTGTGTATATGCTTTCAGTTCATTGTAAAACACATTTCTTAACTGATCTCTATAAGGTCAATTTTATGATTTTTTTTTCTTTTAATGTTCATGGATTGGGGTGCACGCTGACGGGAGTATTTTATTCCCCTTGTCAGGTGGGGTTTGAATCCCAAGATGGGTGCGCTCCAGACCCAGCCCACTGTGAGTCCGACCCTCATCCATCACATCCAACGGAGGAATGTGAAGATTGTGCCCAACATCACGGTCAGTAGGGTCAACGGTTAACCCTTAACCTATGTCTCTGTATGTGTTATTCAACGTCGCGTTGCGCTCCGTAGTCGCTAGCAATGAGTTGCGAGATGAGTATCTTTATGCACGACCTCATCACACACCACACACCACACACACGGCGTGCCGACCGGCACTCCTTGACTAAGCATTCTGACCAATGGTGATACTTTAAACCTTTCAGACCCCTCAGACTGTTGCGCACGACGAGGTCTCGATTGTTACATATAGACCGATCGCAGGCGACTGTCGCACGCGGCTAGACATCGCATCGCGTGTAAGGAAACAGATTCGTTATAATCATGGAAGTGGATATTTATACGGCAGGCCGTCGAAAAATCGGAAGTGATAATTCCACAGCACATAAATTCAGCCAATCAGAACATCCGGAAGCCTATAATCTCTTTTCCATAAGTAACGCATTATACAATTTAAGATACCTGTATGTTTAGTTAACAATGTTTATCCTTTTATTGATATCATTGTGTGCTTTATGGACAATGATGAAATGTTTTGTGTAATTGTAACGAGAGTGAGAGATGCACAATTTATTTTGTGCAAGCAAAATGGAGAGAAGACTTTTTTTTCCAACAGTAGGGTACCTATTTGCAGATGGGATCGGGTTGGGTCGGGTAGGTATGATCACCCGACTCTTCCCCTTAAAAACAAACAAAATTCTTGCATTGATACACTTCAAACAGAGCCTATGCCGTCGAAATATCAATTCCGGTCTTTAGACTCAAGACGGCATGCCGTATAGGTATCACTTCCGATGTTCAGACAGCATGCCGTGGAAATATCAACTACGATCTTCAGACGGCATGCCGTCGAAATATCGCTATCCTATAATCATACTTGATTGATTTTGGAGAAGCAAGGACCGCGTGCAGCGCAGCGCAACGCGACGCAACGTCGCATCACACATAAGGAGACACACTCTTAGACTGAAAAGTAGTTTACTCTGCAGTTGGGGTGGGGGGTGGGGGTGGGATGGTTAACCCTTTGACTGAAACATAGTTTAGTCTGACATAAAGATCTTTTGATCGTGCAGATCGAACATTAACATTTAGTTTCTGACCTCATGGTCTTAGTAACTCAAGTTGGCCAAAAATGTCAGATAAGACTTTGTATTTTTAAGGTTGTGCACAATATCACGGTCAGTTGGTCAATGGGTCAATTGTTAACCCTTAGACTGATTTAATCTGAGCACTACTGTTGGCATCTGTGGTGGAGCGATTAGGCACTTCGCTATTGCACACACGATACCTGAGTTTGTTTTTTGCACAGGGAGAAATTGTTTGTGGAGTATCTTGGTGTCCTTGTCTACAATATTTAGATCATTTCAACCCTGCTGTCACGGCCAACCCGGTCTGAGAAGGATACAATGTCCGAACAGACTGGCGAAGATATCCGATTAATTATTACTATTTTAAAAAGTACATCCCACGTGAGAATGGAACTTATGTCTTCAGTGTGCCATGGTGAAGCACTCAGCCATTAATGAAGGCCTCACAGGAGGTGAATCACCTAAGGAGCGACAGAGAGAGAGAGTGATAGTTTTGTTGTCGTGCGTGTGTGTGTGTGTGTTTGTGTGTGTATATGTGTGTGTATGTTTGTGTGTGTGTGTATGTGTGTGTGAGTATGTGTGTATGAGTGTATGTGTATGTGTTGGTGTTGTGTGTGTGTGTTTTTCTGTCTGTGTATCTGTGTGTGCGTGTGTGTTTGTGTGTGTGTGTGTCTGTGTGTGTTTGTGTTTGTGTGTGAAAGAGAGAGAGAGAGAGAGAGAGAGAGAGAGAGAGAGAGAGAGAGAGAGAGAGAGAGAGAGAGAGAGAGAGAGAAAATAGACAGACAGACAGAAAGACAGACAGACAGACATTTAGTTTAGTAAGAGTTTTACGGCGCTCGCAACTGCATAAGGTCATATGAGCGCGCACAGACAGACAGACAGACAGACAGACAGACAGACAGACAGACAGACAGACAGAGAGAAACAGAGACACAAAAAGGCAATAAAAATCTTCCGTCAAATTATTAAAAAGGGTCCTCACGGGCACCCCTTTCTCCCTGACAGCGGATCGAGGGACGTACCGTACACTTCGTCAACGGCTACTCTGCGGAGTTCGACAAAATTCTCTACTGCACGGGTTACAAGATTGATCTCCCCTTCCTACCCGAGTCCGTCAAAAGCCATGTTCTTCAAGAAGGCTCCAATTATATCAAGGTATAATAATACTGTAACTGAATACACACAGAGTTTTCTTTTTCAGTCAGTTTGTTTGTGGCTGTTTTCATTGTATAAGAAGGTGAATTTGTGCTTGTTTTTGTTTCTTGTTTTTCTTTTTGTTGTTTTTATCATATTTGTTGTTGTTATTCTTTTTCTTCTTGTTTTTGTTGTGGTTATTGATACTGCTGCTGTTGTTATTGTTGCCGTTTTCACGAGTAATTTTAGTGTAGCTGTCCCATTTCTTTTCCACTGGTGCTCTTGATGCTGCTGCTGCCACTGTCACTGTCACTGTCACCATCACTAGCTGTCACTGTCACTGTCACTGTCACCGTCACCGTCACTAGCTGTCACTGCCACTGTCAGTGTCACTGTCACCGTCACCGTCACTAGCTGTCACCGTCACCGTCACTAGCTGTCACTGTCACCGTCACTGTCACCGTCAATGTCATTGTCAAGGTCCTCATCAATGTCACTGTCACCATCTCTGTCACTGTCATTTTCATTGCCACTGTCACCAACTCTGTCATTGTCACTGTCATTTTCACTGCCACTGTCAATGTCACTGCCACTGTCACCTTCACTGTCACTGTCACCATCATTGTCATTGTCACTGTAATTTTCACTGCCACCATCAATGTCACTGTCACTGTCACCTTCACTGTCACTGCTACTGCTAATGCAATTGCCACTGCTACTTAACTGCTACTGCTTCTGATTTCTGTTGTTGTTTCCGTAGTCCATATCATTTTCACAACTTCTTTCACGTCATTTTTACCAATCACATAATGACAATTGCCTGGTCGCAGCTGTACAAGAACGTGTTTGCGCCACACGTGGGCTCCAGCCTCGCTTTCATCGGCTTCGTGCAGCCAGCCTCCGGCGGCATCTTGACAATGGCGGAGACGCAAGCCCGGTGGTTCAGTGCTCTCTGCAAGGGCAAAGTTCGCCTGCCCTCTGCCCCAGAAATGGAGCTGGATATCAAGACGGAAAAGGTGAGCTCAGGTTTTTATTTGTAAAACTGATTTCAAAGTATTTGTCTTATATTTTTTTAAAGGGGGGGGGTATGTTTAATTTTTTTTGGGGGGGAGGTTGTGGGGGAGGGGATTCAGCTAAGGATCTTTGCTTCAGTACTAATAGTGGGTCTTAAAAAAAGCTTTAAAATGTAAGATGGAAGATCAATGTTCATGATGGTCGATTGAAGTAATGAATGATTTTAACAATGATAATGATAGAGAGAGAGAGAGAGAGAGAGAGAGAGAGAGAGAGAGAGAGAGAGAGAGAGAGAGAGAGAGAGAGAAAGAAAGAGAGAGAAAGAGAGAGAAAGAAAGAGAATGTTTTCCGGAGCGGGTTGTTTCAGCACGTAATACATGTATTTATTAATGCCCTGTCTTGTTGTGTGTATGCCTGAGTGCACTGCCACTGTAAAGGACCAAGACAAATTTCTCCTCTCTGAGACGAATAAAAATTGTCATTGTCATTACTGTCAAAGCATCTTTAATGAACACAATGTGTATGTGAGACTTCCGAGTCAAGCGTCTCTAGAGATTCCAGCTCAAGTCTATCCTAGGATGAGGAATGTGAAAGATCTAACAAAATTCCATGTTACACGCTGCCTCCACTTTTTCATAAGCCCTACATTAAATTAAGTACTTTGGTTTGAGGATTTATAATGCTTTATATATATATGTCAGTTAGTGGGTTTTCCTAGTGCCCATTTTAATGTTACTTTCATTTCTTGAAATCTTCTTTTTTAGTTTTAGTTTTAGTTTTAGCAGAGAGTACAGAAGTGGTTTTAGTAAGGGTTTTATGGTGCTTGCAACACAAGAAGGTATAATTAAGTGCCGAAGCTTAAAGGTGTTACAGGAGAGTATCAAATACAACAAAGAAGGAGGGGACAAAAAGATGATGGACGCTTCAAATCTTTAAATCGCCTTCTCCTCCTCCTTGCCCCTGATTCAAATCCTCAAGATGCGCTTTCTAAACTTGGGTTGTTTTAGGGAGGTTTTAGGCTCTCCACCCATATATGGCTCCGTCCTATTGGAGAGGGACATTAAATTAGGAGGTCCCGCCTCTAAAATAGCCTTACGGTGTTTTGAGGGGGTGTAAAACCTATAGCCTACAATTTTAATTTTTCCCTCCATCCCCTGAAAAAGATGAGTCTCACTGGTGCGAACACTAAATGCGCTTCAAGGACCTTAGAAGTTAATGCCTTGCATCTTAGTGTGTACTCTCCTAGACCAAAATTTTCAGCGTCATAATCCACACCATCATCATCATCATCATCATCATCATCATCATCATCATCATCATCATCATCATCATCATCATCATCATCATCATCATCATTGCCTTTCTCACAGTGCATCAGGGTATAGGCCATGAACAATCACTTTCTACCTTTCCCTATCTATCCTGGGCTAGCCTCTTGATATCATTCCATGTCTTCCCACTTTTCCTATACATCAATCTCACTGACTCTTCTCCAGGTTCCACATGACCTTCCCCTTGATCTCTTCCCCAGCGGATTCCATTCTAACCCAACACTTTCTTTGTTAGGCAGTTGACAAAATTTTTACACGACTTATTGTATTTCTTCGAATCACTCTCCTCACCTCTCCCCTTCCTCCCAGATGACATAAGATATGATAAGATACATCTTTATTGTCCAGATTCTGGCACATTGGTTTGGTGTTTCACCACGTACGCACGCACGCACACACACACACACACACACACA